GCTTTCTTGATTTTAATGTGTCTTGACTTCTTTCTAAGCTTTCTTTGATTTAGATTATTGTCGTCGCATTTGAACACTAAGTATCATGTGGCCATTTCCTGTCAGGTGATTGAATTGAAAAAATAATTTTTTACCACAAATCATTTAAACCACTCCACTTTGGCAACACAATGATTGTGGGTAACTTTGTGTAACACATGTGTGACATGGTTTTTCTGTACAGACAACTAGTACTGGTTTGATATGGACGCTCTACCTTTTATCTCAACACCCTGAAATACAAGACAAAGTACGCAAAGAAATTCTTGAAGTTTTACCAAATAACGAGGACATCACATGGGAACATTTAGATAAATTGCAATATTTAAAAGCAGTCATTAGTGAATCATTACGGTAGGTTTTCAGTTTTAATTAAACTTTCAGTATTTGCTACTATTACTGGAATTTTTCATCAATAGTGTTTATCCAATTTACAAAACATTAATTTAAAAAAAACGCTGACATAACTAGAGAAAATCGTTCAGCAAACAGATCATGTGTAAACAAAATACATTGTTATTTCTTAACCATTCAGTTGGGTTGGTAAAAATTTCAAGTTACTAGCCCTGTGGTTGGGTAGACTTTTTGAGAAAATGAATAAAATATTACTTTTTACAAAAATCACAATTTGTCTAGATATGTATTGTTGTATTATGTACCTAAAGGCTTGACGCAATCATTTTGACAAATGCAAAATTTAAAACATGTATAAACAACATCAATCCATGAACAATGTGTGATTTGAACTCTCACACTATACGAGATTTCAGTGAACTCTCACACTATACGAGATTTCAGTGAACTCTCACACTATACGAGATTTCAGTGAACTCTCACAATATTGAAAGCATAAACAGGGCTGGTAATTTTTTAGCAGGGCAAGCAAGTTTTTAAAGTTACCAGCCCTTGTTGTCTGGTAAATTATTTTGACAGATTTCAAACACTGTGCTAAGTGATGCCATTTGTAAAATTTGTTACATCTTTATTTGGTTTTCATGTCTTCAAAACCTTGTGAAATCCAACTTAATTTTCCTATGGCTCTTAGGATCATAGAATTTACTGAAAAATCATGGAATTTGAAAAGTGTCCAGCAAAAACGAAATGGATCGTACTGTGCCCTCTAAGCCAGTATCCACGTGTCACTGATGCACAAAGTTTTCTGTGACGCCACTACTTGTGCTAATTCATTGGCTAGTCATTGATGTAACAGAGACCTTCCAAGCAACAAGCTGACTCAATGTTATTTTCAAATTTGATTTTCCATAATTAAACTTAGTGTCATATATTTTCAGTTTATTTCCACCAGTAGCGGCCGTACCTGAAGTAGCTTTACAAGATGATAAAATAGGTGACTACTTCATACCTAAGGGTACGTACGTTCTAATCAACACTGGTGCTATGCACAGGTAAGAACTTCTCTTTTTTTCATACACATGTCAAGTACGAGTGAGTGTTCAGTTGTTCAGTTTTCGCAAAATTATGTGAAGACATTTTGTTCAAAAAATTTGTGACATGGAACAAAGCTTCTCAGACAGATAAATATGATATATAGTTGACACTATTTGGTGATTGTTGTTTTAAGTAATTATTCATAATAGCTACACATTGTGGGCAATGGCCCTTATTCAGTGGCCCATAACACCCATAACAAATATAAAATAGAATCATTAAAAGATTTTATCATAAAACATGCATATAAAAACTAGGTGGCACGAAAAGGTATTGAGTTGAACAGTTTGTTAACCTTTTCACCACCAGACTTTCTCACCCAAATTGTCTGCCCTTTTTTTTAGCTCCGCTGTCGACTTTGTCAAGCGGAGCTTATCATATGAGTGATTGTCCGTCGTCCGTGTCAATGTTTTACTTTTTCGACTTCTTCTTGAAAACTACAAGCCAGAATGCTTTGATACTTGGTGTATATGTACCTTGGGTAGACCTCTCTTAGTTTTGTTCATTTCATGATGATATCTTCAATTCTCTAATTTTGGTGAATATTTTTGTCATTTTTGGCTTCTTGTTGAAAACCGCAAGTTCAATTGCTTTGATATTACGTATATAGGTACTACATGTGGACCTCTACCAGATTTGTTCATTTTGTAATTACAGGTTTATTGGTTCATGTACATGCTCTTTTGTTTGTGTCATAAAGATATCTTTAATTCTCTAATTTTGGTGAATATGTTTGGTAAAAAGTGATATTTTCGACTTCTTGTTTAAAAACCTCAAGTCCAGTTGCTTTGATAATACATATATAGGTACTACATGTGGTTCTAACTCAGATTTGTTCATTTCATGATGATATCTTCAATTCTCTAATTTTGATGAATATTTTTGTAATTTTTGGTAAAAAGTGATATTTAAGACTACAAAAAGTTAATCCCCCATATCCAAATATGAAAAAATAAAACACATTAAATATCCTGTGCCCAGCATCAGAACAAGTGGCATGTCAATTCCATTGCCCTAGCCACAATGTTTTTGTATCAGGAAAAAAACTATCAAGTATTTTCTGTTTCATCTGTAGAAATTTGTGTGAATGCTAGTAGTTTCACCTATTATTAAGATTTCATAACAGTTTGTTATTATTAAGTTCTCATAGTTTGTATCATTAATTGAAAATAGATCATTATCCCTTGTGACTATATTTTGAAATATAGAAAGACCAACCTATATATAATTATATTTTTAAATTATTTCCAGAAATCCAAATGTATGGCCAGATCCAGAAACTTTTAATCCTGATAGATTTACTGATCCAAATAATCCACCTAAACCTTACACATATTTACCATTCAGTATTGGCAGAAGGAACTGCATAGGTAAGTACACTGGTTGGTCTGTGTTGGAATGTGACTGGTTGGTCTGTCTCGGAATGTGAATGGTTGGTTTGTCTCAGAATGTGACTGGTTGGTCTGTCTCAGAATGTGACTGGTTGGTCTGTCTCAGAATGTGACTGGTTGGTCTGTGTTGGAATGTGACTAGTTGGTCTGTCTCGGAATGTGAATGGTTGGTTTGTCTCAGAATGTGACTGGTTGGTCTGTCTCAGAATGTGACTGTTTGGTCTGTCTCAGAATGTGACTGGTTGGTCTATCTCAGAATGTTACTGGTTGGTCTATCTCAGAATGTGACTGGTTGGTAGGTCTCAGAATGTGACTGGTTGGTAGGTCTCAGAATGTGACTGGTTGGTCTATCTCAGAATGTGACTGGTTGGTCCATCTCAGAATGTTACTGGTTGGTCCATCTCAGAATGTTACTGGTTGGTCCATCTCAGAATGTTACTGGTTGGTCCATCTCAGAATGTGACTGGTTGGTAGGTCTCAGAATGTGACTGGTTGGTAGGTCTCAGAATGTGACTGGTTGGTAGGTCTCAGAATGTGACTGGTTGGTAGGTCTCAGAATGTGACTGATTGGTCTATCTCAGAATGTGACTGGTTGGTAGGTCTCAGAATGTAACTGGTTGGTAGGTCTCAGAATGTGACTGGTTGGTAGGTCTCAGAATGTAACTGGTTGGTAGGTCTCAGAATGTGACTGGTTGGTAGGTCTCAGAATGTGACTGGTTGGTAAGTCTCAGAATGTGACTGGTTTGGTCTGTCTCAGAATGTGACTGGTTGGTAGGTCTCAGAATGTAACTGGTTGGTAGGTCTCAGAATGTAACTAGTTGGTAGGTCTCAGAATGTGACTGGTTGGTAGGTCTCAGAATGTGACTGGTTTGGTCTGTCTCAGAATGTGACTGGTTGGTAGGTCTCAGAATGTGACTGGTTGGTCTATCTCATAATGTGACTGGTTGGTCTATCTCAGAATGTGACTGGTTGGTCTATCTCAGAATGTGACTGGTTGGTAGGTCTCAGAATGTGACTGGTTTGGTAGGTCTCAGAATGTGACTGGTTGGTAGGTCTCAGAATGTGACTGGTTGGTCTATCTCAGAATGTGACTGGTTGGTCTATCTCAGAATGTGACTGGTTGGTCTATCTCAGAATGTGACTGGTTGGTCTCAGAATGTGACTGGTTGGTCTATCTCAGAATGTGACTGATTGGTAGGTCTAAGAATGTGACTGGTTGGTCTATCTCAGAATGTGACTGGTTTGTAGGTCTCAGAATGTGACTGGTTGGTAGGTCTCAGAATGTGACTGGTTTGGTCTGTCTCAGAATGTGACTGGTTGGTAGGTCTCAGAATGTGACTGGTTGGTCTATCTCAGAATGTGACTGGTTGGTCTATCTCAGAATGTGACTGGTTGGTCTATCTCAGAATGTGACTGGTTGGTCTATCTCAGAATGTGACTGGTTGGTCTATCTCAGAATGTGACTGATTGGTAGGTCTAAGAATGTGACTGGTTGGTCTATCTCAGAATGTGACTGGTTGGTCTATCTCAGAATGTGACTGGTTGGTCTATCTCAGAATGTGACTGTTATTGTTTCACTGTAAGCACATCTACTAATATTCATTTCTATGTGTTTTTACAGGTAGTAGATTTGCATTGATTGGGATGAGAGTAATATTATCTACTCTTCTCAGAGATCTCCAATTCTCATTGGTTCCTGGCACTTCATATAAACGCACACAGCGAATTACAATGCGACCAAAACCACCTATGCAACTACAAATTTGCAAAGTGTAATAATTTTGTTATTGCATGAGAAAGTATGAAACACAGAAACACTTGCAGGTTTAATCCAAAATTAGGGTATGGGGGTCACACTATCAAAAGGGTTAAAAGAGTAAAATATCAATACAACTTTTCAAGACAGTGCATAGTGATGACTGTTGTTACAATAATGTACTGTAATAATTTACAATCTGTCACCTCATATTGTGGCACATTTATAAACAAAATGTTTTTAAATCAAAAATTAGAAATCACAATTATAAATCTGATGATATAATGCAATAAAAACAAAACTGGATGTACTTTCTACTTTGTAAGTATTGTATAAACTAGTAATGGGAGGGTTTTTCTAATTTCATGTTCAATTAGCCAGATGCAATACTTTTTTTAACGAAAATTGTTAATCATAATCTATTTTTCTAAAAATAATCAGTGTATATTTTGTGCTTTAAATGATAAAACTAAATTATGCAATAAATCGAGTGTGACCTGTGGAGCCTAATACACTAGAGAATACAGGGATAGCATTGTGGCAAACTTCAAAGGAAATGGAATAATGTTCTCTGCAATGTCTCATGGTTCGTTTTGTTCTGTTATGCAAGCCTCTGGGTGCATGTAGCCTTAAGTTAGAGATGCAGGTTCATGGGCACTTGGGAGTGATATTTTTTTTTTTTTTGCTTTTTATTACCCAAACAGTGTTGGCTATAGACTGTAAAAATTGTGTAGAATTGTGAATACTGGAACATATTCAAAAGACGATTTTAAAATATAGATAACAAGTGCAAACATTCTCTCTTTTGAATACTTAGCAAGATTTAGCAAGGCTGCACATAAATAATAAAAAAGAAACATGGTGAAAAAAAGAAATGACGGGATCTCCATATTATGCACTATATTTATTTTTTACAAAACGACAATACATTTAAATTTGGAACTGTTACAGCCATTTTAATTATGAGCATTTGCAAACTTCTTACTGAGTGAATGGTTATGCAAATTAGCAATTATCTCAGCTTCTTTTTAGTGCACATCCAAGAACTTTAAAAAAAAAATAGCTCCTAGACGTTTTGATCTTTTGTTTTGAAATGATTGACAATGTGTTTATCTTCAAAACGCTGTCAGGGTATTGTTTTTAGTTGAATAGTGTTACAGCAATCATTCAGACAACTAGCCTGGGTGTTAATTTATGCATAAACTTGAAGTAGTGAAATTTGAGCTGCTGCCCTGCAAAATTGACAACTGGTAGACAGTTTTCAAGACGGCACTTTCTTCATAGTAAATAAATGTATCCATAAACCAATTTTGACAGGAAACAGAAGCATGGTTTAGAAGCTAATTTTTTTTATAATCACTTTTGACCAAAAAGGCACATTTGTGTGCATATTTCAAACTACAGTGTCCATAAAAATAATACTAACAAAATTTTAAAATTCATACAATAAGCTTTTCGAAAATATATAGTTTTGTGGAAAAGGGAGGTCATCTTGGTTTCCTTATTTAACTACTAGTAATTAAAATACCTGTCAGGTAAACTGCATCTCTACCTTAAACTCTTTTCCAGTAGATTATGCAACCAGTTGATTTGTATAACCTATTTATGTAATGATGTATATATGCTGTATCCAATATATTTTACTACAAACTAGTTCAGGTAATTTATGACATATTGTTTATATACTATGACATAAATATATCGTACTGTATTGTTTACTTGCACGAAGTTATAAAGAAAATGTTCTGTTAACCCCAAGTCGTTTCAAGAAACACAGTATATCATTTTTTTGGTATTTTTACTGTTTATTATGCTTAAATGTTTAGGCATGTTTATGTTTTGAGATTTGTCCATATTGTAAAAGGCTTAATTATTCACTGGGTTTTAATTTTGCTTGTTTTGCTGACTGGAAATAGTGCTAAATTAAAACCCAGTGAATATGTAAAATTTAGCATCGAACACATTATCTAAATGATAAAACCGTGAATTTAAAATACATATGCCTGAAATGATAAATCAGCAATATTTTAACTCAGTGAAAATTAGTCATTTTACAATATTTTGTTTGACTTTGTATGTAATATGATGTTACTGGTCTCACTTGTTGAATGTTCAAAATAGATTTTAAATCCCAAGATATATTACATCAAAGAAAAGACAGCAGTCACCTATCCCTGTATACATGTATTGTTGGGGTTGTCATGACAATGACTTAGGTTAAATATATAAACTCCGCCAACATTTCAATCGCTTTTTCCAACTTTGCACGCTGTTTTCTAACTTTTTACAGTCAGCTTATGTGAACATCTATAGGCTGCATTCAACTGGCTTTTATTACATTTGTCGACTTTACAACTGCGCGTTTCTTTATGCCAACATCTTAGTTCATATATACAAATACATCTACCAACTTTGCAATAACTTTGCACAATTTTGCAATCTCTTTGAACAACTTTGCACAATGTGTTAATAGCTTAATCCCACTACGTGCCGACAACCATGTACGTGTCTTAATGTGTCTTTGTTTCCATATCATTGGAACAATAGAAATAAGAAAAATGTGATAGTCAAAATATAATCAAGTATTTGGTGGTTAGATATTCATGTTTATAACAAATGAATCAAATAAATAATACATTTTCATTTCAATTTTTCTTCACATAATTTTTATCAAGTTTGCTTTGAAATAGACCTTACTAATTTTTTTCTAACTACAGTGACAATTGCTTTAGAAATTCTTGATGATAATGATTTTGTTCCCAGAAAGAACCTGAAATTTAGAGCTTTAGTGTTGTGCATCAACCAATTGATGTATTCTAAACACATGGAAGTTGAGATCTGTATAAGCTTGCTGAAGTATTCATGAAGACTTTGTGGATTTTGATAAATAGTCTATTTTTAGAAGTCTTTGTAATGTATTGTATAATAAACAAGTGCTCCAAATATATGTAGTAGTCTTATTTCCTGTCCTAACTGAAATAAAATAATATTAAGTAAAAGTGTGAAATTGTGACTTTATTCAAAGTAGTTAATGAGATACAAGATTTACATCTTTTATGCCCATGTATGGTGATACATAGAGATTCAATTCGATATTCTACCTGCCAGTCAATCAGACTTGTTCTGTCATCTAGCCTCTCAGAACATCAGTGAATGTTGTTGCTAACCATGAAAGCTTTGATTGTTGAGAGAAATAATAACTTAGATATAACTTGTATGGTGGAAACGTGTTACTGGTCTAATTCTTGGTACTGGAGAAAAGGGGCATAATTAAAACAATGGAGATGATACAAGAGTGGTGTAATTTCCTTCTGGGAAATGTTCCCTCGGGCACATTTTTATGTCATACTGGAGTCGCTGGATAGGTCTGAGGTGGAGCGTTGCTGTGGCACCAGACCTTTCATAGATGTAAACATAACTACTGTGCTCATAAGTTGGCATATTGTTGTTGATGTCTTTGCACCAAGCTGTCTTGTGCTATGGATGGAAGACTGCTCATTTTGTGTTTTCTATTGGTGTGAAGTTGAACTTCTACAGCTCTGCAAATTCGTATGAACACTACTAGTGCTTAACAGAGTCCGAACAGTAGGAGCTTGAATTTGTATGTTTCCTTGATCACAGACCTTGGTACATTGTTATGTGTAGGTAATAGCCAGATGCAGTGCTGCTATTAAACTGTTTGGTTTGAGATATTGTTTTATAAATTCTGGTATGACAAACCTGAATGACAAACGTGACAGGTAGGTTCAGAAGTGATAAATCCACTACTGGTCTCAACACACCCAATGCCATTGGAACAAGGAAAAAGTGAGCATAGAAACCAGGATCATCCATGCCTTTCCCGAGATTCTTAGTAATATGGGCTGAACAATTATTCCATTGCAATGGGAGACTGAAAGCAGAATAGAATCTTGTAAACATGTACTTCCACTGTGAGTGTGATCGATTTCAATTGGTATTCTCACTAGTGGATGGGGGAATCTGACAGAAATGGGCAGTGGGGACAGGCAGTACTGAACTTTCCATAAATGGCTTGTGTTGGCAACAATCAAAGGTATTGGTAAGGCCATGACAACTGTAGAGACTACCTTCTTCACAGTGCTAACACCAGCAGCAATCAGTCTATCATGATCACACAGCGGAAAGTGCTTAGCAAGAAAAGTTGTAAATGCAGTATCTACCTAGACTTCAGGGAATTTCCCAGGGCCTGGCTAACAGTGCAAAGCATTCTTCCAAAAAAAGTTTCACTACTTCCACCTATGGACAACCGTAGAAACTCTAATAAGTTGGGTTAGTAAGCTATATCTTATTTCACAAATTAGTGATCAGTCCCTGCATGCGATTTCCCAAGGTAGACAGCAGGTTTGAGTCTTGTGGTACAGTAATCATACTGCAATCAATGGTCAGAGGTGGCACCGCAGATTGGTCATAACAGGAATCTCTAACAGTGTCATCAATGGAGATTTCCACAGGTGGTTCAGTTTCTTATCACAAGAATGATGGAATATAGAAATAGAACAATCAAATCCAAATCTGAGCAAGATTGGTGTTAAGATGCAAAATTAAATGATGGGGAAAACATCTACAGACAAAGAACACTTGTGATTACTAGTTCTATCCTTCAAGTCAATTTATTTAAAGAAGCTCACTGGCAGCAAGCACAGCTCTCTCATATTGATAATCATTTATTTCCAAGGAATCTGTATCCCAATCTGTGCATATCGCACGCTGCAAAATGCAATGTGACAGACAGTATTTGTCATGCAACTCTGACACACGCTAGGCGACACTGTAACAGAGTTTTTAGGCATCAGCCTAGCTAACAAAAAGTGGAAAATTCAACCTGGCAGTTACAGTTAAGAAACAACCAAAATCATATTTGTCTATTCAGGTAGGGAAAGAGTACTCTGTTATGAAAATGTGCACCAGTACTGTATAAGGTCTGTATAAGTGTTCTGATACTGATAATTTGCTGATAAACTCCTGCAATGAATAATAACTTTGCTGCTATTTTAGGATA